CTGTGCTGACTGCCAGCTCAGAGCCTGGAGCCTGTTTCAGTCTGTGACTCCATCTCTCTCTGACCCTCCCCTGCTCACGCTTTCTCTCTCTCTCTCTCTCCTAGAAATAAAAAAAAAAAAAAAAGATTGTTCCATACAGAGTTTAGCCAAAGCCTTCTGTTTTACTTCCCAAAAGTGTGTCTTCAATCAGTCTGGCTTGGGCAGGCCAAGCCACAACAGGTGTGTATCCACCTTCACTCAACCTCTTCACCCCGTGTGGAAAGTTCTCTATACATCTCTACTCAATTAATAATAATAATAATTTTAAAAAAGACCTGATTAAAAAAAAAAAGCTTGATATAATCTTGGTTTAAGACTCCATGTCTCCATTAAGCCATCCATCTTTTTTCAAGCCTGCACAAATTTTCTGTTCTCTGGATGATATTAATGTATAGTAAACTGTAGATGACAATAAAAATACATTTATTTATGCTAATTAATGTATGCTCAATAGTTTTGTGTCATAAAGAAGCACAGTCAGATCTTTGAGCGGCAGAGGCCATGTTTTATATAACCTGTGTGTGTGCCTGTGTGTGTGTATGTGTGTGCGTGTGTGTGCATGTGAGTGCATGTGCAGGCACAGACATGATTGTCTGTCCCGCAGAAACCATTACAGAGCTGGATACAAGCTGTTGTGAAACTATTTGTTGATTGATTCGGTGATTGAAATTTAACTTTTTGTGGTTTTATTTACTTGTATAACTTCGACTTTTTCCCATTATTTTCATGAGCATTTGGGCCCAATCCTCTACTGCCTTCAGGAATCACCCTCTGGGGAATCTCTGATTTACTAAACAGCAGTGACTTTAATAGAGTAACACAGCAACCAGTGGCAATGTTAATTAGAACTGAGATCTCCTGACACGTTCCTTTGCTTTATGTCGGTAATTCTTCCATTCCTCAAAAGAGCTGTTAAGAGCAACCATTCCAAGTGGCTAAACTACTTTTGGCAAAGCAGTAATCTGTGACGGAGAGCAGTTCGTGTATGTGTGTGTGTGTGTGTGTGTGTGTGTGCATGTGTGAAAGAGAGAGAGAGCAAAAACCAGAGGCTGAAAGTTGGCAGAGAGGGGTATTGATAGGTGGAGCAGGTGAAGTCTTCTTTCCACTCCAGTGTGAGGTGTGGAGCTGAGCACCTCTGCTGTCTAGGGCAGAGGGTGACTGGTCACAGTTCTCATGTTTCTGGTAGGGGGTTAGCAGCTCGGTGGCCCAGTGGCAAGGAGACAATAAGGAAGAGGTGGTGTGAGGAAAGGAAAGAGAAGAGTAAATGCTAACTTCTCTTCCTAACAAAATGCTCCCTTCACCAGTTATTTGCTTCTTCTGGACAGTCATTGGCCGTCTCACTGTTCAAGTAATTGTAACGCTCTTTTGAGTGTTCATGTTGATAGTTTCTCTGGTACCTAAGAAACTCTAACTTGCACTGACATTATTATATATTTGCTCCTGCATTTCACATTTTTTTTCTTTTTAAGTATTTATTTATTTATTTAGAGAGAAAAAGAGTAAGAGAGAGAAAGAGAGAGAATGAGCAGGGCAGGGGCAGAGAGAAAGGAGAGAGAGAATCCCAAGCAGGCTCCTCACTGGCAGCAAGGACCCAATTCAGGACTCGAACTCATGAACCATGAGATCATGACCGAGTCGAAACCCAGATTCAGATGGTTAACTGACTGAGTCACCCAGGTGCCCCTCATGTTTCTTTTAATATAGGTACAAAAGCATCTTTATCAAAATGTACCAAAAATATTTTCTTTTTCCCTTATTTACCTCTTTTGTCATGTAAGATGGAGAGTGTGAGGGACTGGAGATATTTATGTCATTTCTTCCGGTCAGTAGACAATTGACTGACCTACAAACAGAGCTGAAAGACCCAGGAAAACAGATTTGAGATGTCATCAAGCAGAAGACAGGCTTCAGGAGTTTGCAGTCGAAGAAAGGGAAAGTATTTTATAGATTCTGTTTATAGTCTAAATTTCTTAGAAGAGCCATGTCAAAGTGTCAAAAACACATTACAGTTGACCCATTTTTGTGCACCCTACCAAACGTGCTGTAAAAGTTATCGTGGACCATTGAATTGTTTCATTTCCATTTATATATATATATAAGTTCTTCTTCTTCTGCCCACTCTTTAAAATGTGTGGATTGCCAAGGGTCCGCGCTCCTTTCCTTTCTCATCCCCATGCCCTGCTTCTCTAGTTTGCAATCATCTGGTCTTAGGGTTCTAAGCACTCCAAACATCTCTAGCCTCAGTCTATAATTCTGCTAAATCTCTTTTAGCTCCAGACCTGTAGTTCCAAGCTTCTTAATCAGATGGCCCAGAGCCCTTCCAACTTAGCACAGTCAGAAATGAAGTCCTGACTCTCCCACCTAAACTGTGGCACACAGCTCATGTTGACAATTTCTATTTTAGTAAACGGCCACCCAGTCACCACTTCTTGAAGGCTTGGAACCATCATAAATCATTCATGATGAAAACAGAATTGTACTATACGTATCTTAAAAATATTTAAGTGACTACAAAATATCCACACATAATGTTCAAACCTTCCCCGTGGTGTGGCAGATGCCATCCATTGCTTATGTAATGGCGTCCTCTCCTTAACATTGAGGACATAGACTGTGGCATTCATTTCTAAGACATTTAAGAGAAAGAAGGATGCTCTGCAAACTCATGGAAATCTCATTCCCCTTCACTGAGCAATGATAGGTCCAGAGGACATGTTTCCCAGTTTAGACCAACTAGATAAAGGGACTGTTTGCTGGGGCATGATGCCCAGAAATGTCAGCTCATGATCATGAAAAAATTGTCAAGGGTAGCAGAAGGGCAGAGTTAAAAAAAAATTAAAAGTTCCTGTGTCTTCAATGACAGCACTGAACAGTTGCAAAATACCTGGAGCGGCCAGTGCTATGGGAGTTAGCAGAAGCCATTATTACTTAAGCCACTAAATTGGCGTTTTGTTGCTGAAAGCGTTTCTAGGTAATATCCAAGGTGCTTCAGGATTCTTGCTCTCTGGAACCAACCAACTCTGTAGTCTCTTCTGTCAATCTTCCCCTGTGTTTCACTCCAAACACACTAAGTTCCATCCCACAGCATTTTAGTTGTTCATCCAGAGGGCAGACTTCTCCACCATCCTACGGATGAGTGGCTCTAGATGATTCAAGCTCTAGCTCAAATGTTACATTTTCAAGCAGTTATTATTTTACCCACTAAAACCCCCTGATTGCTCTTGCCCAAATCATACACTCCCAGGAAAAATTAAATTTTGTTTCACACATTATTTGTACCCAACACATTATATTGTGACAGTTATATTTGTCTGTCTTGCACTTGACTTTGAGCACCTAAATGCAAGGATGTCTTATTCATCATTGTGCTTTCAGACATGCGGACAATAGCTATCACCTAATAGACATTCAAGTAATGCTTTGGCTATTACACTTTAGTCCCAAAAAGAATACATATTATTCATGTTATTTAAAAATAGAACTGGTACAAATTTAAATAATTAAAAAATACTACTAATAAGCCTAAAATTAATCATGAAGTCCCAACTGCGTAGCGATGTCAACCTTCTTGGGGAGAGGTGTTGATTTTTCTACAAAATATTATTTGTTCCCTATGTTTCTTTTTCATTTGGACAAAATATATGAATCTTATCAAACACCTATAGCTATTTATACTCTACTAACAAAAATACATTGTTACTTTATGGCCAAATTCACTTGTTTCTTCTCCAAGATTTTTGTCACCAGCACTGTGAGTTACATTTAAGTCTGGGGAAACTACTTCTTTGTCTCTGTCTGGGTCCTGTTCTAGAAACATCCCTTCCCCAATACAGAGATCATTCATCCTGTTCCAATTTTAACTTGTGCAGGACTACCAGAGACGGCCACAGGCTAAACACATGGAAATTGCTTTCCTAGATGAGTATCAGAATTGAAAAGAACATTAAAGGATGGGTCTTTTCTTCAGAACCCTTAATATTCTTAGGGATAGAAACCTGAAAACTACAGGCGGTCCCTCGATTAATTGTTTTTTATTCAATGACAGCTCTCTGTGAGTCCATCATGTAGATTAAGCACTTCAAAGCAAACGTATGCTGCTTTTAAAAATTTGACGATTAATATTTATCTGTTAACAATGAAAAATTGCATTGCAGATTTTTTTTGAGACTTGGGAAATTTAAAGGTGAAATCCATTAAAATGTTCTAACTCTGTTGACATAGATGTGGAAACTTAGTAGCATGCCCAAGGCCCAGCTACAATGTTCAGCTCATCACTCCACATGCTTCATGATATAGAGTCTCTCTACTGCCTTTAGATAGTTTTTGTTACCCATGAATCTTCACTTTCACTTCCTGTTCATTTCTTCCCAGTTGCCTGAAAGCTTTTTTTGAAACGAAGGAGGCATACACTCTAAAGCACTTAAACTTTATAAATTAAAACTACTTTAGGAGCACCTGGGTGGCTCACTCAGTTAAGCATCTGACTCTTGATTTCAGCTCAGGTCATGATCTCAGGATCATGAGATCAAGCCCGGCATCAGCACTGAGTGTAGAGCCTGCTTGAGATACTCTCTCTCTCTCTCTCTCTTTTTCTCTCTCTCCCTCTGCCCCTCCTCCACTCGCTTGCTCTCTCTCTAAAAAAAACCAAAACAAAACATAATGCTTTACATGAGGCCTCTAGATGCTTTTGAAGAAACCTAATACAAGATGTTTCAAGCTGCCGGAGCTGCTTCATTGTACAGCTCCAAGAAATGCTATTCACTTCTCTATTGTCCAGGTGAATAATGCCCCATGGAGTGTTGAAATGTACTGCCCCATCCATTTGTGTGAAGGGCTACTTATGCTGTCTCTATGGTGGAGACAGTGATATCTGTTGTTAGGGTTCTCTAAGTGACAATTGCTTAGTCGTTTCTGGGGAAACAAGGAATCACCCGTGCGAGAAAGATCATGATCTTTCTTACCTGAGCTGTGGTTTCCTGCTAATAAGGTGGGGCTCACGGAGCATCTTCCCAGTCTGCTGGTGACCACAGGAGGTCCTGGTGTTCCGTCCCATTCCTGAGCTTTGATAGGCTCTCTGGAAGACGCCCCGTGATGCCCTCTCTCTTTGCTCTCCAACTTTGGTAACGGCTCCGTGCTGTGGCTTCGGACTTTCAGTTCCTCTGTCGATTCTGTGTGTTAACCAGAATTACACTCTGTTAAACAAAAGTCAAATTCTTTCCAGAATCCTTCGAAACATTAAAGAATGATTTTCTAATATGCTTTCAGTATATTTTTGTCAACTTGGAAGTGTGTTGGAGATTACAACGTTTAAGTGTAACAGGGATGGAGATCACACTGGGCCTTTTTTCTGAAGTGTGCAGGTTAATATCACTGGGAAATAGTTTTCTCATTGGAAGAGAAGAAGCTTGATGAATCGTGAGTCTCTTAGTAACTCTTATGTTCAATGTCAAGGAAACTTTTTAAAAAAATTTTTATTAATGTTTTTTTTTTTTTTTGAGAGAAAGAGAGAGAACATGAGCAGGTAATGGGCAGAGAGAGAGGGAGAGACAGAATACAAAACAGGCCCCAGGCTCTGTGCTGGACATTGAGCTTGAATTCATAGACTGTGAGACTGTGACCTGAGCCGAAGTTAGAGGCTTGCAGACTGAGCCACCTAGGAGCCCCAGAAACTTCTTTTTTTAAATGTTTATTTGTTTACTTTTGAGAGGGAGGAGGAGCAGAGAGAGAGGGAGAGAGAAAGAAATCCCAAGCAGGCTCCATCCACACAGTGCAGAGCCTGATGCAGGGCTTGATTTCATGAACTGTGAGATCAGGACCTGAGCTAAAACCAAGAGTCAGAGGCTTAACTGACTGAGCCCCCCAGGTTCCCCTCAACTTCAAGGAAACTTCCTAAAGAGCATATTACACCCACTGTCTTTACTGTCATATCTTCCATTCATTCTGCTACCCCCTGTGAATTCCTGAATTCAGCCCACCACTCTAGTAAAACTGCTTCTGCTAAAAGCTCCTAGTGCCTTCTAGTTGGCAAATTTAGAAAACACTTCTAAGACCTTTGACTACTCTTTGATTACTCTCATTTATATCTTCAATTCTCTTGGCTTCCCTAATGGCCCATTTTCCTAGGTTGTGTTCTATACCCACACTATTTCCATGTCACTCATATGTTCTCTTCCTCCATGTACTCCTTACAGGTTGTCCCTGAGATGCTAGGTTAGCCACTGTTCTTCTCATTCTAGATACACCCTTCCTGTGATTTTACCTTCCAGGATTGTTAGTGGTTTCTAAATAGTTTACCACAATCCTGGATCATTATCCTGAGCTTGCTTTCTTGCTTGCTTTCTTGCTCTATCTATCTATCTATCTATCTATCTATCTATCTATCTATCATCTATCTATCTATCTATCTATCTATCTATCTATCTAAGAGAGAGAGAGAGAAAGAGAGAGAGAGAGAGAGAATGCACAGGGAGGAGGGGCAGAGGGAAAGGGAGAGAGAATCGCAAGCAGGCTTCATGTCCAGGGCAGAGACCAGCACTGGGTTGGACGACCCCAGGACTATGAGATCATGACATGAGCCGAAATCAAGTGTCATACACTTAACCAAATGAGCCACCCAGGTGCGCCCCTATCTTGAATTTTACACTCATTTATCCAACTCCCATCTGCATCCATCTGGATGCCCCAAGGCTAATACAAATTTAACATTTCAGATATTGGACTGACATCATTTCTTACTAAACCAGTAGTTCTCTCTGTCCTATTCAGCCAACCACCCAAACTAGAAGCTTGTCTCTCCCTTTCTTTAACTGCAACTCCCCAAATCTATCAGTACCATATTCTACAGGTTTTATTTACAGAAATCTTGCTTTTTCTTCCATCACATTGTATCATAACTACCTCAATTACTTTGGTTCCAAGTCTAATCATTGCCCTTCAACTACTGCAGCTACTCTCCCAGTCTCTATCCTTGCCTCTCTGAGGTATGAGATCCATAGACTGACAAAAGTTGAACATGCAAATCTAACCAAGTGTATTTTATAGGGAATGGATGTGATTGGCATTCTGTTACACGTGTACAGGAGTGGTTAAGAACACAGGTAGCAAAGGGCACCTGGGTGGCTCAGTTGGTTAGGTATCCCACTCCTGATTTCAGTTCAGGTCATGATCTCAAGGTTGGCGAGTTTAAGCCACAAATCCGGCTCTGCGCCGATAGCGCCAAGCCTGCCTGGGATCCTCTCTCTCCTCCCCTTCACAACTCATGCTAGGGCACATGCACACACATTCTCTCTCACAATAAATGAGCTAAAAAAAAATACAAACACATGTAGTCATATGAGGGATAAGCCCTTGTTACTTTCAGAACCGTGTTGTTTCAGGGAATGGATGGACATTCTATAATGCACGTAATGAAGTGTTTAAAACCAAAAACAAACAAAAAATGCAAACCTGTTTCTAATGTGCTCTTGACCAAAATCTTTCCAGAAGCCTTCCATTACCCACAGAATGATGTCTAATCTCTTTCTGATGACCCACAAGATTCCCGACCCTGTCACTCCTCCCGCACATCATCACTTCCCGCCTGGACATTGTATTCAAGAAACACCACAACACTGGTTGCACCTTCTTCTGACTCATTCCACCTCCAACCAAAACAAGGCTGTTTTTAGTGCCACCATCTTCTGCCTCATCTGCTTTAAATACCTTTGTATCTTGTTTTTCCTTGGGGAAGGCTCCTCAGACCTGGTTATTCAATTTAAGTATCTTCTGAAGCTTCCTCCACCCATATCCCCACCCCAGGCTGGGATTTGGTCATCTCTGCACTGATACTGTCATTATCATCTTTCAGTGGATCCGCTTGTCTCCAAAGGCTCTGAGTTCTTTGAAGCAGGAACTGAGTTTTGGGTTTTGCTTTTGTTTTCATTTGGTGTCATTAACACCTAGGATACTGCTCAATAAGTATTTAATTAATTAATTAATTAATTTAATTGGTTTCTCAACTCTGTGGGCATCTTTCTGATGTGTGTAGGAAATACAGTGTTCCTAATGGAATAAAAGAATCAGGCAAGTGTTATATTAAAGTGGCACAGAGCTAATATGTTTTGTAAAAATCTGATTATCAATCACAAGTTGTAAAATTCACTATGTTTTTCTTTAACTTTTTAAATGTTTCTTTATTTTTGAGAGAGAGAGAGCGAGCGAGTGGGAGAGGGGCAGAGAGAGACACACACACAGAATCTGAAGCAGGCTCCAGACTCCAAGCTGTCCACACAAAGCCCAATGTGGAGCTGGAACTCAGGAAGCATGAGATCATGGCCTGAGCTGGAGTCTGACACTTAATTGACTGAGCCACCCAGGGGCCCCTAAAATTCACCATGTTTAAAGTAGCACTCCAATGAGGAATCTTTGGGAAAGACTGCAGTGAGAATAATCACAGAAATGTTTCAGAGAATCTGTATTTTGATTTATTTACATTTAGGCTCAAATACTCACCAACTTTTAGCAACGTGGGACAAATGTCCCACTTTGATTCCATATTACCCGAATCTGTGGGGCAGAGGTAGAAGCAGTTTATCATATAGTAAGAGGTCCTAGGTGAGGTCATCTGAGTGGCCCAGCTTTGCAGCCTTGGTCATGGTCATGGGCTAGTAACCCGTGGCACTGAGCACTTGGGTTCTCCTCTCAGAGCCTCATTTTTTTTTTTTTAACTATGATATAAAGATATAAAGATATAAAGATAATATCAGCCCTGCCTAACTTCTCTAATTTAATTAGAAGGATCTAATGGTATTCTACATTAAATATTTTTTAATGTTTGTTTTTGAGAGAGAAAGGCAGAGCATGAGCAGGGAGCAGGGGCAGAGAAAGAGAGGGAGATACAGAATCTGAAATAGGCTCCAGGCTCTAAGCTGTTAGCACAGGGCCCAATGCAGGGCTAGAAACTCAGGAACAGAGAGATCAGGAGCCGAAGTTGGACACTTAACCGACTGAGCCAACCAGACTCCCCTAATTGAAAATATATTTAATTAGCAAAATTTAAATTAATTTAAATTACTATTTAAATTAATAGTATCCATACATGTAAAAGATACTATTAATTTAAATGAACTGTAGGGGCACTTGGGTGGCTCAGTCGGTTAAACGTCCAACTTCGGCTCAGGTCATGATCTTCCTTTCAGTTTGTGACTTTGAGCCCCGTGTTGGGTTCTGTGCTGACAACTCAGAGCCTGAAGCCTGCTTCCGATTCTGTGTCTCCCTCTCTCTTTGCCCCTCCCCTGCTCACACTCTGTCTCTCTCATTCTCAAAAATAAATAACACTGAAACAAATTTTAAAAAGATGAACTGTAGCCATTTGTCCTTTATGAATTCATGTAACCTTTCTACATTTGGACTAGATAATCACTGAGAGGTTGAAAACAAACGGACAATTGCAGGACCACATATGAAAATCGAACTCCAACCCATTATCTACAGTGATGAGCCCAGAAAGTCAATCTACCCTCCCTAAATCAGACTTACAGGAAGTCAGACTACTACTTCCAACAACCAATCCAGGCAAGCAAACAATAATCTGTGTAACAGCTGGCCCCAAACAACCAGGATTAATTGATAATTAACTTGATTAAGACTGGGTAGCTTCCTGAATATTTGCCCCTGCTTCCAACACAGGACCACCAGAGAAAATCAAATATGCATCCCTGTCCAATCACATAGGATGCCTTCCTTCTGGCTGGTCTGCCTGCAGTTTCCCCATGCCAACAGCCTCCGCTTGGGGGCAAATCCGAAGTCTTGCCTGTTTGCCATGAAGTGTCCCCCACAAAACTTTCTCGTTCTTCTCCCTGCCTTCGAATCTCTGCAATTATAAGTGATGGTGGGTAACTGCCTTGCTGTAGCAAGCTCTGAATAGCCTTTGTCTGCTTTCATTTGCTTGGTCTTCATCTGCACGCACATGGTGACAGTTCTTTCTGGCTCCAAAAAGCTATGCAGGTGTGTCAACATATGTCATGAATATTATCCTTTGAGACAAAACTTCAACTAGGAGGGCTGTCTTATAATAAAAACCTCAGAAAGATTCCTGGCCTTCAAATGAGGCTCATGTAAGCCTAAGTCCCAGTTACACTAAAATCAAATATAGTAAGTAAAGATACTGAAAAAGTAATATATTCCAGCC